ATATATATACACACACATACATACATATATATACACACACATACATACATATATATACACACACATACACACATATACATATATATACACACATACACACATATATACACACATACACACATACATACACACATACATACACGCACACACGCACGCACGCACGCACGCACGCACGCACGCACGCACACACACACACACACACACACACACACATATATAATATTAATACTACCGGTAATATAGATAACATATTAGTCCTCATTTCTAAATACATTAATTATTCCAGTAGTTCTGGCATAGAGCACAATAAAAATATTGCTTTCACTTTTGTACTGAGTGCACCAACCAGTTTTGTGTTGTAGCCCCAGTCTTGTTTGGCATACAGTGGGTTGGACATCAGCCTTTCTATCAAAGATACCCCCAGACCAAATGCAGAGGCCAGCTTAGACTTCACAACTGGACCCAACTGGCAGGGGTCTCCAGCCAGTACTATCTGAGCAGGCAAACATAAAACATCACATTTCTCAAAAGCAACAATGTTAAGTCATCATTCAAAATGAATAATCAACTTTCTTTTAAGCATAGCGATTTTCAAATACCGCTTTAAACAGTTTGACAAAAGATTCAACAAAAATATTTGATGATTTGATTCAATCAGGAAAGAAAAAGGATGACAAATTGTGGTGCCACTAATACACCACAGAAAAGACAAGTGGTAATGGATATTATACTTAAAGGTCTGAAATAGTCACATTTGTGCCGACCTGCCCGTCTCTTTCCGACACGAGGCTGATTGGAATCAAAGACTCTGGCTCTGTGGCTTGACCAGCTTCGTCCAGAAAAATGTGAGAAAAATGTCCCAATCTGTAGAAAACCAGTCCACAAATAATGAACTAAAATTGAAGTGGGAAATACAAAAGTTACAATCTACCCCTTCCACAACCCAGGCTTACTGGATTCCAACATTATGAAACATGCCAGCACTGGAACAGGTGCTGACCACAATCCTGTGGAAAGCAGCTTGACGGATGTCTTCTCCAGACTTCGAGTACGATTGCAGCACTTCTGGAATAGACTAGGGGGAAACAGGCATACTCATTTGGCAAATTGATTCAAGATAATAGGGTGAAATACTAAAATAAATGCAAATATAATGTGCAAGACATACAGCATCATGAGTACAACTCATCATGATGGTGTATGTGTATGGACAGACTTTCTGTATACAGGTGCGTGCATCATTTTTTGTATTCATGTGAAATATTTTAATTAAAATGCTAAGTACTTCGGTTGGCCTGGAGGATGCATTGACTCGAGCCAAATTTGAGGCATGCAGGAAGCCGCTATAATAGAGACGTATGCAGATGAGGTCAGCAGCACTGTTGGATGGAGTGCATACAAGTACACGACTGCTGGGCAGAAAGTGGTACACCTAAGGGTGGAAAGATTTGTATCATAAGGAAACAGATTATGTATATACTTGACAATGAAACTCGAGGGAAAAGAAACAATGTAGTTCTCCATCAACACCAGTTTCTCCATTTTGCTCTCAGTTTTTCCACAAACAAGACTTGACTATACAAGACTCCTCGTTAAAGCATTTTTTTTCTAAATCAGCAGGTTGGGAGTCATTTTAAGTCTGATGATAGAACCCACCTGTAGTATGGTCTCAATAAGGGTGATAGTCTTTCCGGTTCCTGGAGGCCCAAAGAGAATATAAGGTAAAGGCCGACATTCTCCTGCCAGGATCATCTTTACTGCCTCTTTCTGACAGGGATTAAGGTCTGGGTTAAAGTACTGCCCTTTGCTGGGAATGGGTTTAGATACTGGTTTTCCACCTAGAAAAATAAAGCAAAAAAGAATGTTACAGAAAATAAATATAAAAAAAACAAAAAACAAACATTGAAAACAGTGGAACACTTGATGTCAAATACCTGTGTCATTCGTCTGTGTGGCCTTTGATTCAGCATCAATAGAAGCACTTGACTCTTGTCCACCTTCAGTCACCGGACCCTGGTTTACAAATAAATTTAAACATTTCAGTCTAAATGTGTTGAGCTTGTGCATTTTAAGTTTCAATTTGACGTATTATTGACTTCCTTTTTTGTTTTATCTACCTCATCTATCCATTTTTCAGTCCACTGAGGGGTCTGAAGAGTCACTCTGGAGGGGAAAAGAACTAGAAAACAATTTAAAAAGGGCACCAATGAGTGATTCAATGTTTACATTGTATTTAAACATGTAAATGTGTTTTTTATAGAACGAAGAATAAAACTTTTCTTAATATTTTGCTGTAAGACTTTGTGGCCCTGCACCTTCAGCTACATGACACTAGGCATGACACTATTACTGCCTGCTTTTCGACAGCTGGCAAAATTGTAATTGCCTGTGTGTGGTTGTCTACAGTGTTAGTAAAATATCTCTTGAAACGGGTTCTGATGCATGCTCAATTATCCAGAGAGAAAAATCCAGTTCCTCTGGACAGATTCTTCTTGTTGAAACATTTCATTTTTTAATCTAAGACTTCATCAGTCTGAGGAGCTGCTACAAACTCAGTCTTATAAGCAGCACCTTCTCTTCTAAGAAGACTCTGTTCAGATGACATGTAATTTTTTATTTTATTTACCTGGATAATTGAGCTTACATACTTTTTTTTCTCCTCATAGTGGATCAACCAGTTTGCTGGTGACTTCCAGAACTAGCTGTTCACGTGCAAAAGGAGGACCGTCAGCCTAAAGACCGATCATTAGTGCCCTGACAGCCTGTGAATAGAAAGTGGCCATAAGGGCACTTACTGAGTTAAAATTTAACGTGGTAGTCACTGAGTGATCTCCAACACATACTCCAAATGTTAGTACATCACACAAGATATAAATAGACAAAACTACTTATTTTTCAAGAGAAGAACATGAGTTAAAGCAGAAAAAAATATTTTGACAGTAATATTTTCTATACCTAGAGGTTACCCAATGCATTTAGTGTATAGAGGACCTTAGTAAAAGTATGCAGTATAGACTGGTATAGTGTGACCATGACCTTAGTAAAAGTATGCAGTATAGTGTGGTATTGTATGAACATGACCTTAGTAAAAGTGTGCAGTATAGTGTGGTATAGTATGAACATGACCTTAGTAAAAGTACACAGTACAGTGCAGTAGTGTGAACATGACCTTAATAAAAGTACACAGTATAGTGTGGTATAGTGTGAACATGACCTTAGTAAAAGTACACAGTACAGTGCAGTATAGTGTGAACATGACCTTAATAAAAGTACACAGTATAGTGTGGTATAGTGTGAACATGACCTTAGTAAAAGTATGCAGTATAGTGTGGTATAATATGTACATGGCCTTAGTAAAAGTACACAATATAGTGTGGTATAGTGTGAACATGACCTTGGTAAAAGTACATAGTATGGTGTGGTATACTGTGTGTATGTGACCTTAGTAAAAGTACACAGTATAGTGTAGTATAGTATGTACAGGACCTCAGAACACTGCTTGGTCAAAAAAAAAAAAAGTCTCCACCAAAAAAAAAGGCCACACACTAATATTTCGTTGGACCGCCTTTAGCTTTGATTACATCATGCATTCTCTGTGGCATTGTTTCGATAAGTTTCTTCAATGTCACAAGATCTATTTCATCAAGTGTTGCATTAATTTTTCACGAAGATCTTGCATTGATGACTAGGCACTAGGCATGATGGGTGCATCACTTCACCTGCCTCTCTTCGTACCCTGATACGCCCATCATTCTGGAACAGAGAAAATCTGGACTCATCAGACCACATGACCTTCTTCCATTGCTCCAGAGTCCAATCTTTATGCTCTGTAGCAAGTTGAAGCCTTTTTTTCCCAGTTAGCCTCACTGATTAGTGGTTTTCTTAAGGCTACACAGCTGTTCAGTCCCAATTCCTTGAGTTCCCTTCACATTGTGCGTGTGGAAATGCTCTTACTTTCACTATTAAACATAGCCCTGAGTGCTGTTGTTTTTCTTTGATTTGATTTCACCAAATGTTTTTTTTTTTTTAAAGATGGCCTCCCTTCTCCCCTTACAGCCATCCTCTCCACACCATTATTATGAAATATTTATTATAGTGACTATCTAGTGTAGGTTTTTATTTATTTATTTATTTTTTTTATTATTTTTTTTTTTTAATAGGATAGAAAGAAAGAAAAGACAAAGTAAGACTCCAAAATATAAGAAATATACACAAAGAGAGCACACGTCAAAACACCCGGCCACTGTCTGTTCACCTGCAAAGAACATGACAAAACACAGCAACAAAATACATATGTATAAAGAACTTAAAATATTCATGGCTTTGCAGTAAGTTTC